TCAGAGCAAATTTGAATAAAGGTGGAAAAATGCTCTCTAATTAACAAATTGAGCATTAACTAGTAAGATGATATTGTTCTAAAAGCAAAAATGACCCTAAGCTGCAAATATAGGTATACAGGACACACAAAAAATTTTTTCCATTAGACTCAGCTCACATTGGACTTTTTATTAAAATATACTATATGGAGACCTGCTCTTTAATGTGAACTTCAGATTACATATGGATGATATGGAAAGGAGTGAGGGAACAGCCACATACATGAGTAAGAAACTGTTTGTGGTCTGGTAGGAATTATTCTTTGCTTTTTTTTGCTGGTCATTTCCTGTCTTTATCAGTCCCCAGTCAGAGTTCCAGCCATGAAGGAATTGAGTTCTTGTGAAATGAATAACTTGCGGATTACAGATACGTTGAAGATATGGACTCACTGGAGTAGGTGGCAGAAGGACCTTTCTAATGTCTCATGTCAACATAACTAAACTGGTTAATCTTGAGGACCTGTGATTGTCAGGGACAGGGACATGTCTCCAGAGTATGTTCCTTATGTGCCCCAGTGTTTGAAACATGTCATTAAATCAGTTGTATTTATAACAACATACAGTGTGGCAATTTTTAAATATGTAATTGCACGATGAGTCAGATGCTAAGTTCCCAGTAATCCTGAAGGGCATTTTCATAAAGCAGTCATCTAAAAACAGTATTTGAGAGGCACTAGTTTATCAATTGCTCTTTCTTGAAAATGGAACTAAGAAATCTAGAATTTGCCATATGTAGTAGTTTCTATTTGCATTACACACATATCCAATAATACATATTAGATGAACACACTATGAATATGGAGATAAGATTCTTAATTTTTCCCCTTAATGATACTAGCAAAGGAAAGTGTATGCAGTGTAACCACCTTCTTTCTTTTAGATGTTGGATACCTGCAAAATTGTTAATACCCTTTTGTCACTTAAAATTTAATGGCTGGCTCCTAAGGAGCTATTGCAATGCATAATATACAGGAGTTACAAAATAATTAGCAAAATGCATCAACATTTTGGAATCTGAACTCTACTCCCTCCATTCTCCCTTTTCTCACTCATGGGCCTCTTTGTATACCTGGACAATGCCAGGAATATTCCAGAATTAGAACATTTGCATTTGCATTTCCTCTATCTGGAAGATTTTCTCCAGACATTCACGTGGCTTGCTGGATAACTAACTACCTTATTTGTTCAAATGTCACGTTTTCAATGAAGCCTTTTCTGGTTTACTCTGGATTAAAAAATGCAATCCCCATACACACGATCTGTCCTTCCCTTCCTTGATTTAGTTTTCTCCTTGCCATTATCACTTGCAAACTATATATATTTTTAATTTTAATTGTTTTGCTTATTATCTGGTTTTTCCCCCACCAAAATGCAAGCATGTAAGCTCCCAAAGTTTGCAAATCTATATTGCACTGTGGTTTCCCTAGATCTCTTTCTTACATTAGGTGAGCAATATTTGTTCAATGGGCAAGTGAGCCCTAAAGCAGAGGGTGCACAGGGGTTTGATCCTGAAATGTGTGTGGTGGGAGGGGTGGAAATAGAGTTTAGGACCCAGAAGTCACTAGGGCCAAAATGTTAGAGACTAATCAATCTTAACAAATCGATTAATGTTTTTAAAGTTATTGAAGTCATGTGGGACAAAGACCATACATGGGTGACCATTTTGTTACTTGCTTATTAATTCTTGCCTTTATGTGCATTATTTTATATATATTGAAAAGAGGTTTATGAGCCTTTAAGGAGAGGTCTAGTTAGAATGCTCCTCCATGGTGAGTTAAAGAGAGTTCTGGAGCCCTACCACAGGATAAGGCCCTTCATAGGGGTTTGTTTAAAAAAAAAAAAAAGAAAGGAAGTACTGTCAGACGTTTGAGAGTTCTGTGCCAGAGACTGATTGTAACAGAAAAGAGATAAAAGTAACCTACTTTTAATTAATGGAATTTTAATTAGGTGAAGGCAAATCTGCAAGTCCGGATATAAATGAAAATCAGTTTGTCGTTAGAATCATGTCAGGAAGTGACAGAATTACTAAAATATATCATTTTTGCTGTGTCAGAAGAACAAAAGGAAGGCAGTTTCACACAGGCTAAAGCTAAAACTGAAAAAACAATTATCCTATGGAAAATATATTATTATAGGAGGCACCATAACTGGACTTGTTTTAATTGATTCCAGAAGAGCAAACTAGAAGTGCTCTAGTGTGGAGGGAAGTCGTTACAGGTGAAGGAAAATTACAGCCAAGAGGAGTGAGGTGACTTTGCCCGTGTCTCTCAGCATGGTCAGGGCAGAGCCAGAACTGCGACCCAGATGATTTTAAGCAGCTCCTAGATTGAGGAGCTTTGTTCTATTTATTTTTTGTTGATTTATTTTTCTACTCAACTTATATTTTTGAAGGCCTACCGTGTGCCAATTATGGTGCAGTTCCTGCCTTTTTACCTTTCTGTGTGGGGAGACAGGTATAAAAATAATGAAAATGCGCACAAGTCGGGGGGAGATGAATGCTAGGGAGAAAAATAATGCAGGAGAGAGAGGTGGGGAGCAGTTGTGAGGGTTGGAAAGGAAAAGCTGGCATCGGCATCAAAGATCTGGAGGAGAAGGAGGAGAGGGCTCTAGGGATGTCTGAGGGAAGACGGCTTTAGACAGAGGAAGCAGCGGGTGTGGAGGCTCCAGGGAGGAGAGCAAGGTCAGCGTGGCCGGAGCCAAATGGGCAAAGAGGGAGTGGTGGGGTGCGCGGGGACAGAGGCAAGGAGGAGGCGGATCAGCAGGGACTTCCGCTGTTTTAAGGACTTGTCTTCTACTCTGAACAAGACCTGGTGCCACGTGGGGGCTTGGAGCAGAACATCAGAATCTGGCATGTGTGAAAGGCTCATGTGGCTGCTGTGTGGAGAGCAGACGTGAGGATGCAGGGGTGTCATGGTGGGAACGCACGCAGGGAGAGGCAAGAGTGGCTTGGACCAGAGTCCTGCGGCAGGGCGGGCTGTGGGGCAGGAGGGTCAGATTCCGAAAATGGACCGAAGGTGGAGCAGAGAGGACTCACTGGCAGGGTGAGTGTAGGAGAAAGAGATGGGTTAATGGTAACTCCAAGGGTTTTGTCGTGAGCAACTAGAAGAATGGGGTTGCCCTTTACTGAAATAAGGAAGGTTGCATGAGAAGGAAGTTCAGGAAGTCTCTTTCAATCTACGGTGCTCTGTCTCTCCCTCTCTCCCTCATCTCCTCCTCTCCCTTTCTTTGCAGTTTATCAGTTGATTAAACTAGATTGCTTTAGAGGTTCCTACAGGATAGATTTCATGAAGTGTTTCCGCTTGGTGCCATTTAACACGTTCCTCTCATCCCTATGATTTCTGGAAATCAGCAATTAAATCTGTAAGCTTGATCAAATTCACACTTGATTCTTGTCAATGCTACTTTACGTGTAACATTGATTGTGTGTTCCCACCCAGAGATACATTGTCCCTGACTTCACTTTGGTTATATTAGCAGTCCTAATCATTGCTTAGATCCTACTAATTTGTGAGAAGTTAGGAAGTGATGATACTCGAATTCTATCATTTAGTCTTTTTTTATGAGCGGAAATGTTTCCATAAAGAGAATATTTAGTTACATTACAGTACATAGAGAAAAGACAAGCTGCAAGCTTGATTGTTTTCCTTTATTTACTAATATTCTAAATAATGAGTTGGCTACCTGGCATCTTCCAAAATTAAACTTTTTTAATGATCATAATAAACTCATGCATTTAAATATACTTGATGTGTTTTAATCCATTGCAGGGAATTCTTATTGATGTGAAAATTGTCCCTGAGGGTTTTTAAACTGCTCAGTCTCCAGTAGCTTTTTTTTTTTTTTCCAATGCGAAGATATGTTCCTAGCTCATCTTGCATCTTGTACATTTCTGGCTCTGGAATCCATCTTTTCTCCAGGGATCCTAGTTTACTCTTACTGCATGGAAAACGGTATTTAATGATAACAGTCTGGTGCTTGAAGTTGGTCCTTCTTTTAGAGCTTTTTGAGTGTACAGAGTCAGGACATATGTCTACATGTTCAAAAAGATAACATTATCTTAGGTTCTTAGTGGTGCATCTAGATAAAATTTAAAAATATACAGAGCTTTTATTTAACCTCATCTATTTTACATTTGCTGCTGCTTTTCTCACACTGAAATTTTCAGGATCGCGAACACCAACATAATTACTCATTTGCTTTATCCCACACGTATAGAGCATTTCAATAACAGAAAATGCAATGTCTAATTTTGCCTGAAAGGTCAGGGTGAAAAGAACATTTGTTGACAAGATGAGGATGCATATTCTGATTAGAGCAAACAGCGTGTAGGAAGACCCAGAGGCTTGAGAGAGTGCAGTTCATTTAGGAAAAAGCAAACACTGTTCTACCACAGGAATAATGGGTTGCAAAGTCAGGAAGGAGTCAGAACATAATGAGCCTCACATTCAATGCTGCAGACATCAGAGCACTGGCCAGATACACAAGGTGTTTTTAGTTTTGTTTTCAGGAGGTATCTTGCATTTGTTTTTAATAAAAAATATTACTTTTCTACTTTGTCCTTATCAGCAAAAGTTAGATATGGAAAAAGAGCAGGGGTCACTTTGAGGATTGCTATCCTTAACTGTTCTACCCCAGTTCAGTGAAAATACCAGTTAAAGTGTAGCTCAATTGTGTCCTGAAATTTGGAGAAGCATTTGCATACTAATCAACCAGTGTTGTGGTCCTTTTTCTCCCCACAGAGGACAAAGTGTGGACCATAGTGTCTCATGACTTGCAGATGCAGACGACTGTGGTCGGCTACAACCCAGAAAAATACTCGGTGACACAGCTCGTGTACAGCGCCTCCATGGACCAGATGAGCGCCATCACCAACAGCGCCGAGTACTGTGAGCAGTACGTCTCCTATTTCTGCAAGATGTCAAGGTTGTTGAACACCCCAGGTAGGCTCAGAATGGAACGTTACTCTTAATTACTATCTCAGCTGGTGCTTGGAATTACCTAAACAATCCAACAGGTCTGGTTATTATCCTGTAGGCCAGTCTTCATGTGTAGGAAGCTGTAAATAAGGAAAGTAGAATCACTTGGCTTGCATTCTAGGGAATGAAGCTAAGAAAGTATAATTTTTTTAAAAATACCATTGTTTTAAACTTACATATTTTTTTCCATTTTATGTACATGTGTGTGTGTGTGTGTGTGTGTGTGTGTGTGTGTGTATGTGTATGTGCGCATGTGTTTCTGGTGCTTAATTATCAGTAGTGGCTTTGGGGAGAAGTTTGTCAGAGCTCCTTGTGAACTTTCAAGTAATGTTCTTGGAGTTCTTCAAGTGTCTTCAATGAAAGATGAAAGCATTCTAATGGCCGCCTGCAGGTAAATAGGGTATGGACTAGGGGTAGAATTTTAGGGCGCTTTGTTGTCATAGTCATTTAACAGCATCTGTCTCAGCCTTGATATTTTTTCGTGATGGCCGACTTTCAGCAATGCTTTAGTATGTGTGTGCACAAGCGTCTGTGTTAGAGGTGTAGACAATAGAGAGATTCTCAAGGATATACTGGGAATAACTTTACCCTAGGAAAGGGGCACATACTCTTGGGGTCTTGGCAGTCAATGCAAGATGTTGACATAAAACAACAACCCTGGGCCTGTGGTGTAACATAGTGGAAATAACCATGTGCTTTGAGTCAAGGAACACGGTTTATAATTTTCAGCCTTGCCACTTCTCTTTTTAAAACTTATCTTGATAAATAAAAATTATATATAGCATATATAATATGTTTTAAAGAATATGTATATGTTGTGGAATGGCTAAATCAAGCTAATTATCATATGCATTACCTCGTATACTCATTTGTGTTGAGAACTCAAAATCTACTCTCTTAGCAATTTTCAAGAATACAATACGTTGCTATTAATTATAGTCACCATGTTGTACAATAGATCTCTTGATATTAAACATCAATTTCCAGTGTCTTTTCTCTCAAGCAGAGATCATAATACCTCTTTCAAGGTGACTGTGAGAGTTAAATGAGGTAATATACTAAGCTCTTATAAGGCCTGATACATTTAAGTGCATAATAAGCAGCAAATAGTATATTAATTTTTTAAATAATATAAAGCAACTATGGAAGTGACATTGCACTATGTCTGAGACCAATGGGCTGTCTGATGCCCAAAATCAGTATTGAACTGGAGCCAGTGCTGTGGGGAGTAGCTTACAGAGAAGAGTTATGAGCAAAATTGTGTGAATATTTGAGTGCTTTCTGTGTGCAAAGGCGCATGCTAGGATCACAGGCAGAGTACCCTATAAGAAGTAAGCCAGGGAAGGCAGAGTGGCAGTAGACTGTGGAGGGAAGAAAATGTGCTGCAGGGGTGAGACTTTATCCTGAAGGCCAGTGCTTCCCAGACCTTAGTGTGCATTAGAATAGCCTGGAGAGCTTAATAAACACAAAGCATGGGCTCCATTCCCTGACTCTATAGGCCTGCAGTGGTGCTTGAGAATTTACATTTCTGATGAGTGCTGTGGATGACCTGTGTTCCCCCAAACTTCCTATGTTGAACCCCTAACTCCCAATGTGACTATATTTGGAGATTGAGCTTTTAGGAAGTAATGAAGGTTAATGAGGTCATAATGGTGGGGTCCTAATCCAAAAGGATTGGTGGCCTTATAAGGAGAAGAGAGAAAAAGCTCGCTCTCTTTCTCTCTGCTGTGGGCGGGCACAGCAAGAAGGCAGCAGTCACCAACGAGCCAGGAAGGAGAGCCCTCCCCAGAGACAGAACTAGCCAGCGCCTTGATCCTGGGCTCCAGCCTTCGGCACTGTGAGAAAATAATTTTTTTGACATTTAAGCCACCCTGTCTCTGGAGTCGGCAGTATTTTGTTATGGCAGCTTGAGCAGAGTATTCCAGTGAGTTCCCAGGCGATGCTGACGTTGCTGGTGCAGAGACCACCCTCTGAGAACCACAATGGCCCTTACAGGTCAACAGCCCGACTTTTTTTTTTTTCCCTTTCCTTTGGCTTGGTTTTTTTTTTTCTTTTTCCACTGGATTCTGTTTCCAGTGCTGGGAGAAGTCAAACAAGGACTGTAGAAAAATCGAGGGCAATAGGAGCCATTAATGAATCTCATCAGTCGTGTTCACTGTTTCAAGAGGGAACACACCTTCTGATGCTCTTCTCACAGATTTCGGTTAAGTAGCCTCCAGTCCTGGGGTGGGGGTGGGGGCAAATTGCTGACCAGGAAAAAACTTTGATACCCTCAGCTTTATTTTCTTTACTTTCATTCTTTCTTTTATCAAACTCCAAAGTCAACTTTTACTCTTTGAGTTTTGCTCTGGTGATTCAAAAATACAGTATGGCTTTCAGATAAATTCGATTTGTAGTTCAGGCACCAGGAGAATTAAACTGGTTTTTAGACACTATGTTAGTTACATTTTCTAATAATAATAAACATATATTCTCTTCATCCTCCAGATAACTCCTTGCAGGGGAGGAACTGCTAAATTGAAATTGAGTGAAATCTTAATCTGCACCATAAATAAACTATTTTCTTTGTGTTTCCAGACATTCCGACATTATGTTTCTAGACATTTGTAGATCTTGTTGTACTTACCAACTGTACTTTGAGAATAAGCTTATAGTATGCTTCTTGCTTTTTTGGACATCCTATATGTATCAAATCTTTCATTCACATGGGAGCTATACTTAATAAATGTTTGCTGATTTGAATGAAATTAATAATATACGGTTTTAAATATTACTTCCTCCAACCTGAGGCAGTTGTTTTTAAGCCAGAGCGTGCATCAGAATTTTCAGGTTGCCGTCAAAATGCTTGTTCCATGACCGTACTCTCAGGCTTCGATAGGACTTCACTGTGGCCCAGAAATGTTTGCATTTAACACGCATCCGTGCGTGATTCTGTGAACCATGCATTGAGAAACACTGTCTTCAGTGTATGGCATGAAGGTCTCTAGTGTTGGAATTTAAGGTGTTAGTCCTTCATGTGGGAGAAGATTAAAGGGAATATTAGGGTTCATCTGACCCATCAAAATAAAATGGCATACATAATTATCTCCATCAGCTAAATTAAACTGGCGTCATAATATTTGTAATCCTTTTGATGTATTAGTCTCTAAATATTGTAAAATGAATTTCAGCCTATCCTTCTGAGTCATCTTTTACACTTCTAATTCCTATTTTCCAAGCTAACTAATCGGTAGACCAACTGATTCAAGAAAAAGGAGTGTTTGTGATAGCAAGATCCTTGTATTATTGTATTCTGTATATGTAAAAATAAGAAAGAACACAATTTAATAAAAATCTTTCATTTGTTTTGTTGAGGAGCTAAAGTTTACTGTAATTAGGTTTTTTTTCCTCCTTCATGGTAGCATTCGATTTTAAATATCCATTTACTCATTCTTAACTAAGACTGAATTATATTGGAATTTCTGTAGTAGTGCTTGTGACATCTGTTTGAATACAAAGTATATTCATTATAGTCATTGCAATTAAAATGAATATGAAATGAGTTTGTAATAGCTATGCACTTAAAATGTTATTCTTTAAGAGCCTTACCCTCAAGAATTCATTTGGGGCTTTATAGTTTCTAATGATACTTATGATAAAGAGTTGATATGTATATGGACCTAATTTTTATTTTGATAAAATGTTTGTTTGTACCATACCATTAGCTAGCAAATGTGGAATTACTCGTTATTGGTTTCTTACAACTTTTACAAGGATAGTAATATATGGCTTGCAATGTTACCTTTTTGTTATTATAAAATTTTAAAATGTAGTCAATTTTAAAATAATGATTTTGCTATTATTTATTCTTGCAATGTAACTAGTACTTCAGTTGTCCTTTATAAGAGACATAGAAACATTACAAATAAAAGTTATTTTATTTTGTATAAAAGAGCCTGTTTGGCATGAGGCATACCAATTTGGGAATGACCAAATTAGTTCTACCCAAAGAGAAAAAACCTTAATGGTTATCCAAAGTGATGTCTGTATGCTTTACATCCTCAGAACTATAAATGTAATACTATCTAAACTTATGAAAGACAAAAATTATTAGACAGTAAAATCTTCTGGAACAAGTACTTTAAGAACTTAAATTTGATAAATAAAACACCAAGAGAAAGTTCCGTTAGATCCTACATAAGTAGTCTTAGTCAACAATCCTAATGCTTTTAGATAACCAAAATCTTTCTCTGTGTTTGGGCAAGACCTATTAGCCTCCTTTTATTATAAAATGCTTATTTGTGTAACTCAGATGCATTGTAGTCATATATTTACTTTACAAATCATATTATACCTTCTTTCTGCTGAACTATTTAATCTCTACATATATAAAGATTTATTAAATTGTAGAGGTAGGTATAAATCATGTTTTCTGTTTTCTGACTACATTTAGTGCTGTTTTATTAGTTTTCAGTGTTTCATTTCTTTTAATCTCTCAATGTAGTCTGATTCTCACAAGTCATACTTTTTATTGCTTCTTTTATTGAAATAAGCAATATAAGTTATCCATCCTTTGGGGTAGTTTACTATTAGATTTTGTATGTATTAAAAAGAAATTATGCTCACAATTTTTGCCTATAAAGTAAATTGTGTAAGATTCATGATAGATTGATGATACTAAACTGTGATTTAGTAGCATCCCAAAGACAAAAGAAAACATGACTCTGGCATTGTAACTAATAGCCTATTTTTAGCAAAAATTTCTAAAATTTGGTGCAGTTATCAAGAAAATGGATTTTCAAAGTTTGTGCTGTGCATTTTAAGAAACCATGACATTCAGCTCTTGAGACCACATAAATTAAAAAAATCACCTGATTCCAACGAAAGATTGTTTTCAGTAAATACAATGTATCGTGACTAATCAGTATATTAATGAAAAGATTAATCATTTCTTTAATTAATTATTATATCCAGTCATTGTATTA